AAAAAAAAAAAAAAAAAAGACAGTCTGCATGGATCCTCCCGAGTCCACTCTGACCCCATGCTCATCTTCTAACTGGTCCCCATCGGGGAGCAGGGTCGGGAGGAGGTAGGGACTGACCTGCAAAACGCAGGCTCCTTACTGTTCACAACTATAGGACGTTTCATGTTCTCAGAGGGCGCCTACACAAGTTGAGACTCTATGGTTGGCTTGGCCTAGCGCCCGCCCTTCATCTACTCCACCTGCAAACTCCCTGCCACCTCCTGACTCAGCAGCCGAGAGGAGAACCTACCGAGGTTGTTGTCCGTCAGCACCTCCTTCACCCGCTTGGTTATGCCGTAGGTGTCCAGCTCCGGGGACATGGCTACTAATTCTTGGATGCTGAGGGCCGAGTGTCCGGAGAGAGGCAGCGGGGTTGCGGGCTGGGAGTCGGATGCTGGCGGGTCACTGGGCTCTGGTGGTTTGCCGTCCTTGCTTGCCTCGATGGGGGGACAGGGCTGCTGGACCAGCTCGGTCAGGCTCTTCACCGACTCGCTGGAACTCATCGGGGACTCAGGGGCAGGGCTGCAGCTGGCGGAGGTCTTTGGAGTGCTTTCTGTAATTAAAGCACACGAGAAACTGTGCCTGAAAATAGCTGTCTTTCACCACGACCATCTATCTATGTTCTGCATCTAGGAAATACTAATTAAACGCTCTGTAGAAGAAGCAGACGGTAGGGTTTTCTGTGGGTCTCAGTGAACTGTTTCATATTTTTTTGACTGAGAGTAACCACTAATCTTCCATATTAAAAAACAAAAATACCATCACTGGAAGAAAAACTAGGGGTTTAAAAGAAAGGCTTTGGAGGGCTTAACATGAGGGCATGAGGGCATTCTGCTAAAAAACTCCTATTAATCGTGTTATCGCTGTCATGATTTCTTCTAATGAAACCCCATAATTTGGTAATTCAGAAGCACTTTGGCTAGATTATAACTTGTGTAGTTATGTTGTCCATATTTTCCAGAACCAAAAGCATAGACAGATTGTTTTAAATAACAGCTGCCCATAATACGTTGTCACCACAGTTATGAAGACCCTTAAGATGAAATGTGGCCGGGCGGGTGGATTATCTAAGGTCAGGAGTTCGAGACCAGCCTGGCCAACACCGTGAAATCCTGTCTCTACTAAAAATACAAAAATTGGCCAGGCACGGTGGCTCACACCTGTAATCCCAGCTACTCAGGAGGCTGAGGCAGGAGAATCACTTGCACCCGGGAGGTGGAGGCCGCAGTGAACTGAGATTGTGCCACTGCACTCCAGCCTGGGTGACTGAGAGTGAGACTCCATCTCAAAAAAAAAAAAAAAAAAAAAAAAAATGAGGAAACGTAAGGCCATAGCTTCTGGTCCCCCAGTAACAGGTCTCAGGACCTAGGGTGTTTATTTTTATTTTTTTAGAGATGGAGTCTTGCTCTGTGGCCCAGGCTGGAGTGCAGTGGTGCAATCAGACTCACTGCAGCCTCGACCTCCTGGACTCAGGAGATCCTCCCGCCTTGGCCTCCTGAGGAGCTGGGACCACAGGTGCGTGCCACCATGCCCAGCTGGTTTTTTATTGTGAAGAGCAGAGAACTCCACAGCACCCAACCCTAGGGGAAGACGGAGAGAGGCAAGGAGAGGAGGAGCACCCTCTGTTTCTCCAGCTCTTCCATTTTAGAATTCTACCTCCAGTCTCGGGACTTGCTGGTTCTGCCTGCTTCTGAAAACCAAGCTCTTTGCTGGTATAAGCCATGCTGTAATCAACGGCAGAAGTGACTGGGCTGGTGTGGACGAGCCAGTGTCTACATTCTCCTCTGCCCTGCTGGGGTCGCTGCGGGTGCCCAGTGGGAAATGCCAGCTGGGCTCTGTTGGTGAGTGATCCCTCTGGCCTCTGATAACATCCCATAAAACCTGATAAAAGAGGCTGGATTCCAGTTCCGGGATGTCTGGGATAAAGACTTTGGCCATTTCCTAATTTCTGCAGATAGAAACTGTCTAGGAGGAAGATGTGGCTTCGTGCTGAGGTCCTGCCTGCAAGGCAGAATCTGGGCCCAGCTCAGTGTCTTGGCACAATCTCTCCCTCCATGCCCACTAAGGGTGACAGAGTAAGACCCCACAGTGCCAGATAAGAGGGCCCAGGTCATGCTCTCTGCTCCCAGGGTCTTGTAAAAAAATTTTTCTGGAGATGGGGTCTTGCTAGGTTGCCACAGCTGATTCAAAATTCTGTGCTCAAGCAATCCTCCCACCTCAGCCTCGCAAGTAGCTGGAACTGCAGACATGCACCACTACACCTGTCTAATTTTTTAATTTTTTCTTTTGCAGAGATGAGGTCTTGCTATGTTGCCCAGGCTGAACTCCTGGCCTCAAGTGATCCTCCCTTCTTGGCCTCCCAAAGTGCTGGGTTTACAGGCATGAGCCACTATGCCTGGCCAAGGGTCTTACTCTTGCTGCTTCTCCCTCGAGCCCTAGCAGGTCACTCAGTCAACATTAGCACCATAGTAGATAACCCAAAATACTTGTTACCTGGCTGAAGGGAAAATGTAGCATAGAGCAGCAACTTAACTTCAATTTACCATTTATCTCAAGAGTCCTTTTCTGGACATACTGTATCCAGGATCCACTAAACCTGCCATAAATACATTCCAAATACAAGGAATATTTTGTATTCATACCTAGAAAGAGCAAAGCCCCAAATAAAACAATCGCAACTTAAGCCATCAACCCCGTTTATCGTCCTGAACTGGACAAACTTCCACCATCGCATAAGGCTGTGTCCTTGACCTGGGAAATCAGGTTACAGAGAGAAAAACACACGCCAAACCGGTTTTTGAAAGATGTGGAAGAGACAAGCGTAAGAGGCAGAAATGGTCCGTATAAATCTTTAGGGCAATGTGAATCTTACAAATCAGATTTCTTCTCTCTGCTCACCCCCCGGGTCACCAAAGAACGGGATATAAAACCCCGCAAATGTTATTTTTGTGTCTGAAGCCGGCAGAGGAATCGTACTGTAAGGATGGCGTGATTCACCCATGCGAGGGGCTGGCCTGGCAGATCATCCATCTTGCTCACCGGATACTGTCAAGGATGGCATGAATTCCTCAAATGATAAACAGATTTCTTTTCAGGTTTTGTGTCCTTTAACCCACAACAAGGTCAACATCATGGCTGCCTGGCTAATAAACCGAGTGTGGTGCCGGCTGCCGGGGCACCTCCCCGTTTTGTTCTGGGTGCTGGCGGAGGCAGAGCTCACCGCGAAACTCAGAGGCTGTGCAGTTCTTTCTTCCAGGTGCGCCTTGCAAGCCGGTGGCATGGATTTCTGCCATCATGAACCCCCGGGAGGACTAAACAGGGGGTGCTCACTACTGTTACAGGTGTCCCTCTGTGCTCCAGGCTGTGACTACAGACAAAGGCAGGCTTCCTGAGATCAAATCCCTGTCCGAGTCCTGAGAGATCCAGCATGTGAAACTGACATGTGGCGGCTGGTTGCTGGAGGTGGTTTGTATTTGTCTCTCCACTCTCAGTCTGAGTCTAAAATGCAGAAGATCTTTGGGAGGGTGAGGCGGGCAGATCACTTGGAAGCCAGGAGTTTGAGACCAGCCTGGCCAACATGGTGAAAGCCCCTCTCTACTAAAAATCCAAAAACTAGCCAGGTGTGGTGGCGGGTGCCTGTAATCCCGGCTACTGGGGAGGCAGAGGCAGGAGAATCGCTTGAATAGGGGAGGCAGGGGTTGTAGTGAGCTGAGATCATGCCATGGCATTCCAGCCTTGGGGACAGAGTGAGACTCTGTCTCTAAATAAATAAATAAATAAATAAATACATAAATAAAATGTAGAAGACAGCTGCAAGCTGCACACTCTTCCTGGGAGATAGTTTACTCACCAACAGACATCTGCATGCACAGATGTGGCTGCGGTCTCAGGTCAAGGAAACAGGACTGAGCCCACGTTTGTGGCGCAGGCATGGAGAGATGCCACAGCAAACAGACGCGCTGGAGACACCATGAATCCATGCGCTCAGAACATCATGTTGGGAAGAAAGTCAGTCTTTCTCTTTTTTGAGACAGAGTCTCGCTCTCTTGCCAGGCTGGAGTGCAGTGGCACGATTTCACTGTGACTTCCTCCTCCCGGGTTTAAACGACTCTCCTGCCTCAGCCTCCCGAGTAGCTGGAACTACAGGCGCCCACCACCACGCCCAGCTAATTTTTGTATTTTTAGTAGAGACAGGGTTTCACCATGTTGGCCAGGCTGGTCTCGAACTACTGACCTTAGATGATCCGCCCACCTCAGCCTCCCAAAGTGCTGGGATTACAGGTGTGAGCCATTGTGCCCGGGCTTTTTTTTTTTAATTATTATTTTTAATTGCATGGAACGGAGCAAAAAGCTTTGCTGTTTCAGAGAGTATCGTTTTAATCACAGAGCTCCACTTGCTAATGTTTGGAAAGGAGAAGTAATATTTCTTTATATTGACTGTATTTTTGTTCTGTTAGGACAGACAGTGAATCCTACAGGAAGCCAACTCTCCCAACTGCACAGAGGGTCCCCTCACCCTGGCCACCCTGACAGGGTGAGCCACTGCACCCGGTCGAATGTATTTCTATAAAGACCTACAGTCAACATAAATCTTATGACCGAGTGCCATTTCTTCCACAACGCCTGGTACATGACAGGGACGCTGGTGACAGATTCAAAAGGCCACATCCTATGTGATGCGTTTATCTTTTTTAAAACATTAAACTTTTCTTAAACTTTAAAAAATAGAGACAGGGTTTTGCTATGCTGCCCAGGTTGGTCCTAGAATTCCTGGCCTCAAGTGATTGGATCTTCTTACCCTGGCCTCCCCAAGTGCTGGGATTACAGGCGTGAGCCACCGTGCCCAGCCACTTCCTACATTTTACACAGGTAAGATATGGTGCCCTGGCCAAGCGCAGTGGCTCATGCCTGTAATCCCAGCACTTTGGGAGGCTGAGGCGGGCGGATCACTTGAAGTCAGGAGTTTAAGACCAGCCTGGCCAACATGGTGAAACCCCATCTCTACTAAAAACACAAAGGTTAGCCAGGCGTGGTAGCACACACCTGTAATCCCAGTTACTTGGGAAGCTGACACAGGGGAATTGCTTGAACCCGGGAGGTGGAGGTTGCAGTGAGCTGAGATCGTGCCATTGCACTCCAGCCTGGGCAACAGAGACTCTGTCTCAAAAAAAAAACAAGAAAAAAAGATATGGTGCCCCGAGACACACAGCCAGGAGCTAGGCGGATGGGCCATATTCTAAACAGCTCCTGTACAGCTGGTGGTGCCTGCCCCCTGCACCCGAGTGTGCCTTAGTTACAGAGTGACTGTGCCTGCCTTCCCACGCAGTTTTTCTACAACCCACACATCGACATGTGTGAATCTCGAAGACTTAACGATGAGTCACAAAAAGCTGATCCACTCACAGGATTGTGGAAGGGAACCAAAACACATTTCATACCAGGCGTGAATGGAGCAGCCAGCTGAGGGCGTTTGCATGTGGCTTCATTCAATTTTCCCAACGGCCCTGGGGTGGAAATTTACACCCTACATCCCAGGTGAGAAAGCAGAGGCTC